GTGCGGAATTGTTGCCCACACAATTGGTAGCACTTCGGCAAGTCGCTGGCGAGTTCTATCGGGCCCACCTCGAGTATCCAGGATATCGGGATACTGCAAATAAAGGCGTCGCTTTAGCGCAATCCATGCATGTTCGATGGGGTTTAGATCGGGTGACAATGGAGGATGATCCTCCAGGTTGATCCCATTGTCAGCAAACCACTGGCGTGTGTCATGTGCAGTATGCACACGCGCATTATCTGGCTGGAAGAGTGAGTCCCCCAGTTCTTCATCAATCTCTTCCATGACCGGTGGAAGATGCCTATCCAATAGGCTAATGTAAACCCACCGGTCAACCTTACTTTCTAAAATGGGCACCAACGGTCCCCGGTGGCCACCCCAAAAACACCCCCATACCATCAACCCCACCTCATTGGTTTTTCCCCGTGGCTTGATGCAGTCGGCAAGCCACTTCTCCTCTGGTGTACAGAACACCCATTTCTGTGCCGGATTAGCTGACTTGCGCACTGTGCACTCAGCACTATAAAGGATGTTCCGGAAGTCTTCTGCCGTCCAATCCTTCCGGGCAACTGCCCAGTCCAATCTTTTTTTGGCATGGGTGGCAGTCAAGCGGGGCCGCGTTTGTGCAAGCCATTGTTTGATATTGGCTTCTCGAAGAACACGGTCAACTGTCCGAATGGATACATGTGGAGCATGCCGATTCCGGAGCTCCAATCGTGTGATTCCCCGGTCTTTTTGCGCGGCCCGGACAATGGCTCGGCGCTCTCTCTGGGTCAGAATAATGGGCCTACCTGAGCGAGGTGCATTGGCGATATGACCTCGGTCACCTGCGCGGGCGAGAAAATTGCGTACTGTTGACCAGGCCCGGTTAACGAGGGAGGCAACTGTCGATATCTTTTCAAAGATGTGGAAAAAGGCAATTATCATGCCTTTTTCCACATCTGTCATTTCCCGCCGTGTGGTTTTTGGCTTATAACGCGAAGCGGGATTCTTTTTGGGAGGCATTTTGGCGTGTATCACATTGTTGATATCTACGCGGCTGTCTTTTATCATTGTGCTGAGTAAGTGCTGACTCAGCATTACCAAGACTTTTGTCTAGTGGCTGTAATACCAAACAAAGTACCTTCTCCCTTTCCTACTCCTTATGATTGTAACGGGAATCCATTTGAATCCAACAAACTGCAAGTCTTACTCACACTAAGCTGATTGTACATGGTTGTGTTTCTGCAAGGGCATTTGAAACCTCTGCAGTGAAAATGCACAATAACTTCATCTCAGAGGTTTTGGTATAAGTGAGTGGTCTCTGCTTGAGCCTACTCACTATCCTCCTTAATCTGACTGGAGTGATCAGCTGTAGCGAGAGACTGATCAAGGTGTTGTTGAGTTCGCGATGCAACTGTATTGACTTTGAGTGTAATGGGGGCACACTCAAGTAGATGCTTCCCAAGGATGCGACCGCACCAAAACTTCAAATCTCTCAAAAACAGCTCTTGTAAAATGTAAAGAATAAAAGTTCATGGTAAAACTTAATGTAATTAAGGTCTGGCTTATCTCAATTGAAGTCTCATGAGAGGATATTCATTGTATCGGGGTAGGAGAGTTCTCATGAAATTGTTAAGTAGTTAGACTTATACTAAAAACTCCCCCATCAGGTTACCCCAACCAACATGTGTATGCCCTTCTCCTTAAGGGTTGCCCGGTACTATTACTATGTCTCCGAAGGGCCTAAGGTGTCTGTGCACTCTAGCAGAAATCTCCTATATCCACATCAATTCCTGCGAGCTGTTTACCAATATACCGGCCGGAGTGAAAATCTCTGCGCATCGGAGTCTCGGCACGGGATAACTGTTGAGACACCTAGGAAAGCTAACTACATGACTCTCTTCCCATATGGCATGACCTATGCAAGTACCCATAGATATCAGCTATCTTCCAATTAAGTTTTATCTATCCTAATTGCGAACTTGGAAGATCTACGACACTCCAGCAGAGAGCTGCGGTGGCAGTGGGACCTGTGGGCGCTATCCATGGTCCCTTACACCCAGCACACCACTCACCATGATAAGTATCATGGTAATAGAGTCCTCGAACAACCTATAAAGAACCTACAACAAAGGTGCACGTGTAGGCTTGATTGGCGTAGCACCACCCCAGATGTCTGCAGCACTACCCAGGACTACTCTGGAGACCCTTCTGGATAGCTCATGCTAAGTCCGTCAGTTTTGGTCCATTTTACTCCGTTCTTTTTAGAGAAGGTACTTAACCTTCTCACCTTGGCCCCCTTATATATCCTACGAACAGCTTCCAGTTGGACGGATAACAGTGACATATACTCTGTTATGGACATGTCTTCATAGACTCCATTTAACTAGTAAGACTCCAACTCCACCCATTTTGGCCCATGACGCCTAGAGCGATCCCTGGGATAACAGGTACCTCTTAGAAATACTTCTGCCAAGTTACAACAAGTTCAGAGCACTATAACCCCTCCTATAGCCTTCTAATCAGTATGCAAGCAAGTGCCTGTCGATCAGTATTATGTAACAAACAATCCTAATTATTCCCGGAGTTCTCCCAGAACATTTCCGACATCAGGTAGGGTAACAGTGTCTCAAGGGTCGGGTAAGTATGTCCCTAGTGACCCAAAACAGGTCTCCATAGTAGGGTATCATGACTCTCCTAGACCGGCTAAACTCACCTGACCTTCTAACCTACTCTTAGGTTGGAGTAGACATAATCACATTTCTCCGGCTACTTAGGTACCCCTATTCCTTAAGTACCTTCTGTTTTTCGAGATACCCAGACCATTAGGTATCCCTCGGACATGCACTAGCATGCCCGCCTTGTCTACCATTTGACCTGTTAGTCTTGTCTCTGGGCATAACCATTGGTTGCCATAGCTCTATAATGTATGGTTATTACATTGAGGACTTTCTGCCATGCTCAAACTAGTCAATGTCATGGGAAAGTCCATTAACCACAGAGAGGACTCCAGTTGGCTCTATACTATACAAGTACTAGTCTGAGCCCCATACCTCATCCATATGGGCACGTCCCAATAACTTCTTGGCCTGTTGGCAATTTCGTCGCAACACATTCTACCTATGTTCACAATAGTCAATCTTACTTAGGTTCTCGCTCCATAGTTACCTGTCCAATTGACTTCATTCTACTTTTCAGACACAGTCTAGCATCCCCTCTGATATATCCTGGAAACAGCCTACAGTTTGACAGATGGCGATGACATATATGGTTTCATAAATCATACTTCATTTTCACTAATTAATACTGTTTGGATGTCAAAGTCCTATGATACAATTCCTGGGTGCTGGCCTAATGGCAGGGCCGAGGATGGTCTTGGCCATGGAATTTTCCCAGTTTTGAGGAGGTCTGTGCATGGGTGTAACGGGGGCTCCCTCAGGTAGATGGTTCCTAAGGATGCGACCGCACCAAACTTCGAATCTCTCGAACACAGCTCTTGCAAAAGTGTAAAGAATAAAAGTAAACGGTAAAACTTAATATCGTTAAGCTCAGGCTTATGTCAATTAAACTCTCGCGAAAGGATGTTAATTCCGTCAGGGTAGGAGAGTTCTCATATAATCTTTAAGTAGTCAGACTTATACCAAAAACTCCCCCATCAGGTTACCCCGACCAGCTTGAGTATGGCCTTCTCCGTAAGGGTTGCCCGGGCACCATTACCGTGTCCCCGAAGGGCCATAGGTGTCAGCGCACTCTAGCAGAAATCTCCTTTATGCACATCAGTTCCTGGAAGGTGTTTACCAATACACCTGCCGGAGTGAAAACCTCTGCGCATCGGTGGCTCCTCAGTGGCTAACTGTCGAGACCCTTAGGAAAGCTAACTAAATAACTCTCTTCCCATATGCTATGACCTATGCAAGCACTGGTAGATATCAGCTGTCTTCCGGCTAAGCTCTATCTTTCTTAATTGCGAACTTAGGGGGTCTACAACGCTCCCCCGGAGAGCTGTGTCAGCGGCGGGACCCATAGGCGCTACCCATGGTGCCTTACCCACGGCACACCACTCATCGTGATAAGTGTCATGCTATTAGAGTCTTCAAACCACCCACAAAGAGCCTACGGCAAAGGGGCACGTGTAGGCTTGATTGGCGAAAAACCTTCCCGGATGTCTCCGGCACTACCCGGGACTACTCTGGGGCCCTTTCCGGATAGCTCACGCTAACTCCGTCAGTTTTGGTCCGTTTTACTCCGTCCCTTTTGGAGAAGGTACTTGACCTTCTCACCTTGGCCCCCTTATATATCCTGCAAACAGCTTCCAGTTGGACGAACGGCAACGACGCATACAGTGTTATGGACATGTCTTCATCGATTCCATTTAACTAGCATAACGGCAACTCCACCCATTTTGGCCCATAACGCCCCGGGCAAACCCAGGGGCCGCAGGTACCTGTTAGGAATAATTGTACCAAGTTACAGCTTGTTCGGAGCACTATAGCTCCTTCCGTAGTCTTCCGATCAAAGTGCAATCAAGTGCCCTTTGATCGTCATTGCGTAACAAACAATCCTAACATTTCCCGCAATTCCTCCGAGAACATTTCCGACGGAAGGTAGGGTAATAGTATCCCAAAGGTAGGGTAAGTATGTCCATGGTGACATGAAACCAGTCTCCATGGTAGGGTAACGTGACTTCCTTAGGTAGGGTAAACTCACCTGGCCTTCTGACCTATCCATAGGCCAGAGCGGACATTGTCACGTTATTACCACTACTTAGGTATACCTATTCCTTAAGTACCTTCTGTTCTTGGAGATTTCTGGACCATCAGATATCTCTCGGATATGCGCCTGCATATCCGCCTCGTCTACCATCTGACCTCTTGGTCCTATGTATGGGCGTAGACGTAGGTTACCATAGCTCTTTATCGTGGGATCGTTACATCACTCCCCTCTTCTCTAAGGACCGACCCGGTCCGCTAACGTCGTCTTTTATTTCCCCGGTTCGGTTCACCCTCAACTCTATGCTCTCTGGGTTTGTGGGGATACCGATGGTGGAAATCCTTCATGGCCTGTAAGCCAGTGTCTTCTAGCATCTCATATGGCTCCCAAGAGTTTTCCTCTGTGCCATAGCCTTCCCATGAAACTAGGTACTGAACGAAGCGATTAGGAAACTTCGCTTTCATATTACCGTACCATCGACTATCTATGACTGCCTCGATATCATAACTAGCCTCATTGTCTACTATCTCTGGGACAGGGACTTCCTTAGTCCTTCTACCACTTGGGTCCTCACGATAGGGTTCTAAGAGTCCGACATTGAATACTGGATGGATTGACCAACGGGCAGGCAATTGTAGTTCATAAGCTCGGTTTCCAACCTTTCGCCTGACCATAAAGGGTCCAAACATTCGGTGGTCCAACTTCTCCATAGGTCGCTTGGTGCGGATGTTCTTTCGATTTAGCATCACGCGGTCTGCCTTCCTTGCCCGGCCATTTGTTACATGTTCCATCATAACGTATTCAGGTGATGGCAACCGTTTCTGGTCATGCCACTTCCTTTGCCTCTCTTGAGCTCACTTAACTGTATCTCGGACTTCTTGCCAGACACCTTCCCAATTCCTTACCAATGGCTCGCTGCTGGGTTGAACACCTTGTTGTTCTGAGACAGTACCCGACCAGTTGGTTCGTGGGTTGAAACCGTAGTTGATCTCAAATGGAGATAACCTAGTTGACTCAGAGGTTGATGTATTATACGCATACTCCGCCAAAGGTAGTAGCGATGCCCTATCATCTTGCTGATAAGAACAATAACTCCTTAAGTATTGCTCTAAGGTCTGGTTCACCCGCTCAGTTTGCCCATCAGTCTCAGGGTGGAAAGCGGTCGATCACCGTAGTTTCAATTGCAATTGTTGCATCAGGCTTATCCAAAACTTGGATGTGAATCGAATATCATGGTCGGATATAATAGATTCTGGGAGCCCATGGAGTCGCCAAACTTCCATCAGAAATATCAGCGCTAGAGCCTTGATAGAGATTTCTGCAGCCAAAGGTATAAAGTGTGCCAGCTTTGAGAATCGATCCACGATAACCCAAATTTTTGTATACCCTTCCGATTGCAGTAGAGCGACTATAAAGTGCATTGAGATGTCCGTCCGCGGTCTCAAGGGTACACCAACAGGTTCCAGTAGACCAAACTTCTTATGCTTGACGGATTTATTCCGTTGACAGGTATCACATGTACGAACATAGTCCGTAATGCTCTCGTCCATCTTAGGCCAAAAGAAGTTAGCCCTAACCCTGCCTACCGTCTTATATGTTCCAAAGTGTCCCGCAATATGGGAGTCATGTTTAGCTTCCATGATTTTATCCTTCAAATCCTGTGAATCAGGAATGTACTACCTGTTCTTATATAGAAGGAGATCTCTTTCTATTGTCAGGTTCCGGTCGACTCCTTTGTCTTCCGCTAACACAGCCTTTAAGGCCTTCATATAGATAGGATCCTGTTTCGCAGCAATTCGTAATGCATCCAAAAATGCTGATTGTAACCGGTAGCCTTGACAGGCTGCCAATGCTTGTCGTCATAAGAGGTCTTGCTCCTGTCCCACAATCTATTGTCCGGGGCGAAAAAATGGGTATGGTATCTCTGGTAGAGAATTACTCCCCCCTTCAGGGTGCTGGTCTCCACGCCTTGACGGTGCATCAGCCTTCGTGATCAGTATTCCTTCACGGTCAACTACCTTGAAATTGAATAGTTGCAGGAATTCTGCCCAGCTATGTTGTCGGCGGTGGAGGGTCTTAGTACTATTAAAGTACTCTAAATTCTTGTGATCGGTGTAAACCGAGATTTCACCCACGACCGACCGAAACAGATGTTCCTACTCCTTGAAAGCTGCAACTATGGCAGTCATTTCCTTGTCATGTACATCATAATTTATCTCCGCTGGGTGGAACTTCCTACTATGAAAGGCTACTGGATGCCATTTCCGATCTTCGCAGAATTGAGACAACACGGCACCCAAAGCAAAATCACTTCCATCCGTCTCCAACTTGGTTTGACGGGTAGAATCGAAGTGTGCTAGAATTGGTCCTGAAGTGAAGGCCTTTCTTAATTCAAAGAATGCCTTGCTACAAGCAGGGGTCCAATCAAATTTGACATCCTTCTTAGTAAGGTCCGTCAAGGGCTTCACTATCTTGCTGAAACCCTCTATAAACCTTCTATAGAAGTTGGCGAAGCCCAGAAAACTTTGGACTCCGACGACATTAGTCGGTTTGTTCCATTCCAAGATGGAATCCACCTTCTTAGTGGTCATAGATATCCCTTTTTCGGATATTCTATAACCTAAAAATTCTATCTCACCTCGTTGGAAGAACGACTTCTTTATGTTTGCACATAGTCGGTGTTCCCTAAGCCTTTCCATTGCGCGCCTTACCAATGAGACATGTTCTTCCATGGTCTCTGAGTAAATCAGGAGATTGTCCATATAGGCTACGACTCCTTCTCCCAGCATATCTCTGAATATGTCATTTATCATGCTCTGGGAGGTGGCGGGCGCGTTACATAACCCAAAGGGCATCACGTTAAAATGATGTAGTCCCAGTTCGCTACGGAAAGCCGTGAGTTCCTCATGCGAGTGTATAGCTCCGATAGCCTTTTTGGCCATCCGGATCCCCGAATATCCATTTTTGAGGTCCATCAAAGTATACACTGTGGCTTTGGAGAGCCTTCCTCGCAGTTCATTCATTAACGGGAGAGGATATCTATTCTTCACCGTTATTTTATTGAGGCCTCGGTAATCTATTACCAGTCTCAGTGTGCCATCAGGTTTTGGCACAAACAGTCTAGGAGCGGAGGATGAGGAAGTAGATCTTTCTATCTTCCCTGTCCATAACATCTCAGTTATGAATTCCTTGAGTGCTTTCCGCTCCTTCTCTGATATTGCATAGATAGGCCCCTAAGGAGGGGTGCTTCTGGGGATCAATTCGATCCAGTGATCATACTTTGTATGTTCCGGTAACGTATCTATCCTTTCTTGGCTAAAGATGTCACCAAAATCCTTGTACTCGGGCGGGCGTTGGATCGTGACATCTCCTCCTCTCTCATCGGCAAACTCTACAGTTCCTAGAAAATATACATTTTCTGGATCTTCTGCCAGTAGCTCCTCATCCGACATGTATACTAACCGCCTCTGCTCCGTAAGACAATTTGCCTTACAGAAATCTTAGCGCCAGGTCAGGGATCCTACTTTCCAATCTATGTCGGGGTTATGATCTCTCAGCCACGACATTGGGAGATAGCCTTCGACTCTTCTGTCGGCAATATCAGCTACCTCAAAGCGCATACCATTTACATGATCACCCATCTTCAAGTCTAATGACTTGGTATAATGAAGACCTGATCCTGGTATATTATTTCCGCTTGCATCCTTAATCGGAGTATGGATTCTTTTCTTTACACAAGGAGCTTGGATACTCTTGACCCATTGACTACTTAGCACGGGGCCCGTCGCTCCGCTATCTAGTAGCAATAGTGCTTCGGCACTTACTTGCCTAAACCCTATACGCCAATCCAATTTCACCCTTAAGTGAATTGATTTGCTATGTCGGGGTGGGCTTGAGCGCCTCGCCTTCTTTCGCTGTCTTGTCGTACTCATTCTTGCTAGTCTCTTGCCTTTCGACACAAGAGCGGCCACAAAGGGTCGGTAAACGTTTTCAAGAATTGTTTGATCAATAAAGGGATTGGAGTGCTGTTTACTATCACACCAGTATGATTTCGGGTATTAAACCCTCCTCAGGTAAACTTGAAAGATAACTTTTATTTAAGACTAATGACCCGAACCAGTTCCAACCATACAAGACAACTGACCCATATTAGACAAGAAAATACATTTGCTCTCCGGAGACGTCCAGTCAACCGGTGCCAAACAGGGCATCTTTGTGCCCCATGCGAATGTCGCGCGGTTCCCATTTTCCGAAGCGACCCCTCGGAGCAGAATGCTTATCCAAAGAAAAACCTGAAAGTAATTCCCCGAGCATGTCCAATATGAAAAACATGAAAAATAACAAAACCCAAGAACCAAAAGAAAAGACCAAACAACGCGTACGACCATAACATCTACCTGAGCAGGTAGTCCCTCGATACTCCTGTATTGGCGACTTTGTCAGGTCTTAAGAGCTAGTCAACGCGAATGGGTTCTTACCTTATTTCGTTCCACTTGTGTGGCTATCCTTCCTTCGAGATCTTCATAGATCTAGATAGGTCAGCCTATGTTATCTCCTTTTTAGGATTAGGTTCTTACCTTCACTGAGGTCCGTATCAACCTCCATAATAGTAGGAGAGGGTTTGCGGGCTTCCAAAAGCTTGGGACCCGAGGGCGGCAGACGAGACGCTTCAATACGCTTTAGTCGTTTATTGCCCTTTGTCGAAGGTTCTGCCTTTGGTCGTGACCGTTTCACTCCCGCAGTATTCTTCACGGCATAAACAACTGGGGATGTCATCGAACACTGTCTCCAGAAGTGTCCTTCCTTCCCAGACTTTGTGCATTGCTTATTGTAGCCTCATTTATCAGTAAGGGTCTGAGGGATGCCTTGATGAGCAACAGCATACTCAGACGTCCCAGCCTGCTTCCCGGCGCCAACATTAGCGGTCTCCCGCTGTTTGTTGTCCTTCCAATGCGAACCTTTCTCCTTCTACTTAAACCTTCCAGTAGGTTTAGAAGTTTCCTTCTCTCTCTTCTCTCGTGGTCTTGGGGGCTTTTCGTCAATGAGATGCCCGAAACGCTTGTCATCCTCGAAATTATGACCGACTTGTCGTAGTAGATCCAAGTAGTCGTTGCGGCTGTCTGGGTGAGGGGTTTTTAATGCCCCCGCGGCCCGAAGCTTCGGCGTTATCCCAGTCCTAACCTTATCCTTAACCTGTTGATGGTCTGTGTAATTTAGCTTGTACATCAGATCAATGATCCTGTCCAGGTAAGGAGCGCTTTGGTTGGGCTTCATCACCAAGTTATTCCACTCGAGGAGATTCTTATCCCGATTCACATTATCACCCCCGTGACTCTCCTCTAACCGTTCACGGAAACCCTTCCATGGCTGGAGCGGCCCGTTCTTGTTGAATGGTATTCTCGCGCTTTTCGCAGCCTCACGGTTGATGTGAGCATGGATCCCCAGGTACCACTTGCGGGCTTCGTTTTCAAGAAGAGGTATGACCAAGTTGATCTTATCCATGTCCGTCAGACAGCAATCGGAAAAGTATTCGAACTTGGCTTCGACCAGAGTCAGAACACTAGCCAGGTCTGCAATCACTCCCTTAAATGTGGGAATGCCGCATAGCTTCTCCGGCTTCCTACGACTTGATGAAGACGAGGAACGAGATTGGTTTTGCAACCGCTCTCGTAGTGCATCTGCCCGACGGTCATATCGGTCTTCCTTCTCATCGCTCCAGACATTGCGATGTGGTTCCAAATAGGGTGTGATATCAGGTAGGGAGTTGGCGTCATCATCAGAACTGTTATCAGGATCGGAATCACCCCGATCTCCTGCGCCAGCCCCAAAGAATCCACCACCAGGAGGTTAGTTACCACCTCCACTGCCTCCGGCGTTACCAGTGAAAGTTTCCCTTGGTCTCTCATAACTCTCAAATTGCTCGTCTCGACCACCACGATTTCCGTCATCCGGAGGACCCCCTCCTGACGGTGCTTGTGGTGGCACTGAGCCTGCTAGCTGGTTACTCCCCGACGGTATCGGGTTTGGCGCAGCCTGCGACACCTTTAACCATTCGGCAAAAGCCGGGCAGGTCTCTGGGTGTAGTGGAGGTCCCTTGTATCCTCTCTTTTCGCACCACCCACATTTGGGTTCTTCTCTTCCCTTTCCCTTATCTTGTCTGATATCCCTCGGTGGACCCCCCAGTACCTCTGGCGGTGGCGGTTGACAAAAGAAGTCATGACGTCCACCATATCCAGGGCAAGTGGGGTGACAATAGGGTCCTCGGTTCGAGGGTGTTGGTCCAAACTCAGAAAAGCCAGCATTTCCCGCAGGTTTAACAGGTGCCGTCTGTATGCGGACCTGTGGCCGGTTGGGTTGGTGCGGCGTAGCCGCGATAGGGACAGGAGTACCTGGAGAAGCCGTAGTCGGTCGGCCAGGTCCTCGTGAGGTTCTCTCGCGGATATTCAACGTTGTCTCGATACGGTCCACTAGC